CCTTCTCGGCGATGTGTGGTTTATTGTCCCCCGTACCGTTGCCCTGACTGACCCTGCCCACCATCGCGCGCAGCCGTCCCTAACCGCCCAAGGCATCGAGATCCCCTGCGATCGGGTCCAAGAGGGAGGTGTCCAAGAGGGGGGCGTCCAAAGGGGAGGGCGCAAATCATAGCCAGCGGCATGCGTGCGGCCCGAAGGGGGGGTCGGGGACGCACTGAAATAAGATGAGGCACCAAGAAGTCTGGGGACGGTACCATGGCCCTCGACATGAGATCCCTCCCCTAGTCATCACGCGCCTCTTGGCCGCCCCCGATGCAATGCCCTCCGAGGCTCCCTGGAATTCCCCCGGGATCTCCCTGTGAGGCTCGCGCTGCGGCTGCGTCCGTCGGAAACCTGGGTGCACGGAGCGGGGGCAGAGTGCTCACGACGGACGACAACGGACAACGACCGACGACCGACGACCGACAGACCACGCCGACGACCGACGACGCCGACGCCGACGGCGACGCCGACGCCGACGCGAAAGACGACAACGACGACGACAACGGACGACGGACGACGGACCAGGGACGACGGACGATGGACGACGGACGACGAACGACGGACAACGGACGACGCACGACGGACAACGGACGATGACGACGACGACGAAGACCGAGGACAACGACGACGACGAGCGACAGACCACGCCGACGGTAGACGACGCCGACGCCGATGCCGACGCCGACGCCGACGCTGACGCGGGCGCCGACGCCGACGCGGAAGACGACGACGACGACAACGAGGACAACGGACGACGGACGACGGACCAGGGACGACGGACGACGGACGACGGACGACGGACGACGGACGACGGACTACGGACAACGGACGACGGACGACGGTCAACGGGCGACGACGACGACGACGACGACCGACGCCAACGACGACGACGACGAGCGACAGACCACGCCGACGATACACGACGCCGACGCCGATGCCGACACCGACGCCGACGACGACAACGAACGACGGACGACGGACGACGGACCAGGGACGACTGAGAACGGACGACGGACGACGGACGACGGACTACGGACAACGGACGTCGGACGACGGACTACGGACGACGGACGACGGACAACGGACGACGACGGACAACGACCGACGACCGACGACCGACAGACCACGCCGACGACCGACGACGCCGACGCCGACGGCGACGCCGACGCGAAAGACGACGACGACGACGACAACGGACGACGGACGACGGACCAGGGACGACGGACGATGGACGACGGACGACGGACTACGGACAACGGACGACGCACGACGGACAACGGACGACAGCGACCACGACGACGAAGACCGAGGACAACGACGACGACGAGCGACAGACCACGCCGACGGTAGACGACGCCGACGCCGATGCCGACGCCGACGCCGACGCTGACGCGGGCGCCGACGCCGACGCCGACGCGGAAGACGACGACGACGACAACGACGACAACGGACGACGGACGACAGACCAGGGACGACGGACGACGGACGACGGACGACGGACGACGGACGACGGACTACGGACGACGGACTACGGACGACGGACAACGGACGACGGACAACGGACGACGACGACGACGACGACCGACGCCAACGACGACGACGACGAGCGACAGACCACGCCGACGATACACGACGCCGACGCCGATGCCGACACCGACGCCGACGACGACAACGAACGACGGACGACGGACGACGGACCAGGGACGACGGAGAACGGACGACGGACGACGGACGACGGACTACGGACAACGGACGTCGGACGACGGACAACGGACGACGACCGACGACCGACGACCGACAGACCACGCCGACGACCGACGACGCCGACGCCGACGGCGACGCCGACGCGAAAGACGACGACGACGACAACGGACGACGGACGACGGACCAGGGACGACGGACGATGGACGACGGACGACGGACTACGGACAACGGACGACGCACGACGGACAACGGACGACAACGACGACGACGACGACGAAGACCGAGGACAACGACGACGACGAGCGACAGACCACGCCGACGGTAGACGACGCCGACGCCGATACCGACGCCGACGCCGACGCTGACGCGGGCGCCGACGCCGACGCCGACGCGGAAGACGACGACGACGACAACGACGACAACGGACGACGGACGACGGACCAGGGACGACGGACGACGGACGACGGACGACGGACGACGGACTACGGACGACGGGCTACGGACAACGGACGACGGACGACGGACAACGGACGACGACGACGACGACGACGACGACGACGACCGACGCCAACGACGACGACGACGAGCGACAGACCACGCCGACGATACACGACGCCGACGCCGATGCCGACACCGACGCCGACGACGACAACGAACGACGGACGACGGACGACGGACCAGGGACGACGGAGAACGGACGACGGACGACGGACGACGGACTACGGACAACGGACGTCGGACGACGGACAACGGACAACGGACGTCGGACGACGGACAACGGACAACGACCGACGACCGACGACCGACAGACCACGCCGACGACCGACGACGCCGACGCCGACGGCGACGCCGACGCGAAAGACGACGACGACGACGACGACAACGGACGACGGACGACGGACCAAGGACGACGGACGATGGACGACGGACGACGGACGACGGACAACGGACGACGCACGACGGACAACGGACGACAACGACGACGACGACGACGAAGACCGAGGACAACGACGACGACGAGCGACAGACCACGCCGACGGTAGACGACGCCGACGCCGATGCCGACGCCGACGCCGACGCTGACGCGGGCGCCGACGCCGACGCCGACGCGGAAGACGACGACGACGACAACGACGACAACGGACGACGGACGACGGACCAGGGACGAAGGACGACGGACGACGGACGACGGACGACGGACTACGGACGACGGACTACGGACAACGGACGACGGACGACGGTCAACGGACGACGACGACGACGACGACCGACGCCAACGACGACGACGACGAGCGACAGACCACGCCGACGATACACGACGCCGACGCCGATGCCGACACCGACGCCGGCGACGACAACGAACGACAGACGACGGACGACGGACCAGGGACGACGGAGAACGGACGACGGACGACGGACGACGGACAACGGACGTCGGACGACGGACAACGGACGACGACGACGACGACGACGACGACGACAACGGACAACGACCGACGACCGACGACCGACAGACCACGCCGACGACCGACGACGCCGACGCCGACGGCGACGCCGACGCCGACGCGAAGACGATGACGACGACAACGGACGACGGACGACGGACCAGGGACGACGGACGATGGACGACGGACGACGGACGACGGACAACGGACGACGCACGACGGACAACGGACGACAACGACGACGACGACGAAGACCGAGGACAACGACGACGACGACGAGCGACAGACCACGCCGACGGTAGACGACGCCGACGCCGATGCCGACGCCGACGCCGACGCTGACCCGGGCGACGACGCCGACGCCGATGCGGAAGACGACGACGACGACAACGACGACAACGGACGACGGACGACGGACCAGGGACGACGGACGACGGACGACGGACGACGGACGACGGACTACGGACGACGGACTACGGACAACGGACGACGGACGACGGACAACGGACGACGACGACGACGACCGACGCCAACGACGACGACGACGAGCGACAGACCACGCCGACGATACACGACGCCGACGCCGATGCCGACACCGACGCCGACGCCGACGCCGACGCCGACGCCGACGTCGACGCCAACGACGACGACGACGACAACGAACGACGGACGACGGACGACGGACCAGGGACGACGGAGAACGGACGACGGACGACGGACGACGGACTACAGACAACGGACGTCGGACGACGGACAACGGACGACGACGACGACGACGACGACGACGACGACGACGACCGACGACAACGACGACGACGAGCGACAGACCATGCCGACGACCGACGACGCCGACGCCGACGGCGACGCCGACAGCGACGCCGACGCCGACGCCGACGCCGACGCCGACGACGACGACGACGACGACGACGACGACGACGACGACAACGGACGACGGACAACGGACCAGGGACGACGGACGACGGACGACGGACGACGGACGACGGACTACGAACAACGGACGACGGACGACGGACAACGGACAACGGACGACGACGACGACGCCGACCGACGACAACGACCACGACGAACGACAGACCACGCCGACGATAGACGACGCCGACGCCGACGCCGACGCCGACACCGACGCCAACGACGACGACGACGACGCCGACAACCGACGACGGACGACGGACGACGGACGACGGACGACGGAAGACCGACGACGGACGACGGACTACGGACAGCGGACGACGGACAACGGACGCCGGACGACGACGAAGGACAACGGACGACGACGACAACGACGACGACCGACAGACCGCGCCGAAAATAGACGACGCCGACGCCGATGCCGACGCCGACGCCAGCGCCGACGCCGACGCCGTCGCCGACGCCGACGCCGACGCCAACGACGACGACGACAACGGACGACGGACGACGGACGACGGACGACGGACGACGGACGACGGACGACGGACGACGGACTACGGACGACGGACGACGGACAACGCACGACGACGACGACGACGACGACGACGGAGACCGACGACAACGACGACGACGACCGACAACCACGCCGACGATAGACGACGCCGACGCCGACGCCGACGCCGACGCCGACGCCGACGCCGACGCCGACGCGAAAGACGACGACGACGACGTCGACGACAACGGACGACGGACGATGGACCAGGGACGACGGACGACGGACGACGGACGACGGACGACGGACAACGGACGTCGGATGACGGACAACGGACAACGGACGACGACGACGACGACGACGCCGACGACGACGACGACGACGAC